AGCTTATATATTAAAAATCCCTTAAATGATTCAAACATATAGCCACCACCATCTATGAATTATAAAAACAATTTTATTTAAAAAATGTATTGAGAGTAGCACTACAGTATGTAAGTCCTTTGAATTAATATGCAGTAATTATGGAGTCAATGAAAATCAAACCAGCGGAATATACAGCAATTTCCGTCTTTGCTATCCGCTTAGAAGACTGTTCCAAAATGTCACTTTTTCATGATTGAAGACAGTTCCAGAATCATGCTCTGAAAAAGAAGAAATTATTCATATTTACTGCATGAATCATCAAACTTATTAATGTTTTTATTCAAAGAGAAAGTGCAAAATTAAACCAAATGTAAAAATGTAACATCAACATAAAAACTTGAAACCCTTCCTTAGTTATTGTTATGATGAGCATTTTGTCTCTTTGAGAAAAATAATTGACACTGTTTGTTGACACTGTTTCGCATTACTTATTAATGTCACTTTTTCGTTTTTGGTTTGCTGTACTACTGAAAAAACATAATCCTATAACCTTTCAAAATCTTAGTTGGCCAGACAGTGATTCATCTTTACTAAATCTTTAAATATTGGTCTTTGAGATGCATGAGCCCGGAGACTATACTGTACATTGTGAGCTTTTAATGTTTAGCTTAAAGGTGCACTATAAATGAATAGTGATCATAAAAATAAGTTCTCTCACTTGAAACGGAGCTGAGGCTTGGATCCAGAAACAGTATTTGTTTCGTCACGACTTACAACAAACGGATAGTGGATTAAATGTTCCTCTACTCACCATTGACATTCTGCGTCCAGCGGTAGGGGGTGGTGTCATAGCTGGACTCTCCCCTTGAGCTATACGGTTGGCCTCCGTGTCCGATCCACTCTTGGAGTCTGGACTATCAGACGGGCTCTCTGAAAGCCCCCGTGACATGAAGCTAGCTTTCCTGGCAGTGGGATAATTCCCGCTCTCCGGGGAATCACTATCCTCACTGAAGTCTTTACATTGACTGATACGGCTCTGCTTCCGTAATGCTGTTAGTATCTCTATGTGACTGGCTCTGAGTGAAGCTCTGGGCTGCTGACCAACATTTACGGGTGGTCCAGAGCCCTTGGGCCCAGACTCGTCGCTGCTGCAGGAGTGCTGACGGTTGTCTAAAGTGGACCGTCGTTCTGTGGCTCCCAGCTGTTGGAGAGCCTGAAATTCAGGCTGGCTAGGAAGACGGTTCTCCCTGGGGGGTTGCTCAGATCCATTAGGGTCACCTTTTGGCTCCTCGTGGCTATATGGAGGACCAGCCATTGGCATGTAGAGAGGCAAAGGTGCCATCTGTCCATCTGGCACTACTGTAAGGGAAGTGTGAGTCAAATGTATATGTTTTTGTGGTGAGGAGTTTGTAAGGATGCATACTTGTTGGACCATGGAGTTTTTCTTTGACCTGCAAATGCTATCTGCATCTCCAATGTACTTGGATCCATATATGGTCTGCTTGATCTTTTTCACACCAAGATGGAATATCTCCAGGAGATTAAGAAACAGGGATACCCCTGCAATGACCAGCATGAAAATCATGAAGATGCTCTTCTCTGTCGGCCGTGAAACGAAGCAGTCCACGCTATTGGGGCAGGGGTCACGCTCGCACTTGTATAACGGCGCCAGTCCGATACCATAAAGCCCGTACTGCCCCACTATGAATCCTACCTCCACCACTGACCTGGTTAAGATATGCAACACGTATGTGCGCAGCAAGGAACCCCTCAGAGGGGCCTTCCTCACTTTCTTTTGCTCTTCCAGCTTCTTAAGCTCCTTCTCTATACATTTGTGCTCCTCCAAAGCCTCCGTCTCCTCCAGCTCCACTTTCAGCTGAGCTTTCTTCTTGTGGCGCTCCTTCTCTAGCGTTCGGAGCCGGTAGAGTGCATGTCCCATGTACACCAAAGATGGTGAGGAGACAAAGATGATCTGTAAGACCCAGTATCTGATGAGAGATATGGGGAACGCCTGGTCGTAGCAGACGTTCTTGCATCCAGGCTGCTCCGTGTTGCACACAAACTCACTTTGCTCATCGTCCCACACATCTTCCGCAGCAACCCCGAGCACAAGCATACGGAAAATAAAAAGAATGGTGAGCCAGATTTTGCCCACAATGGTGGAGTGAATGTGAACCTCCTCCAAGATACTCCCTAGCAAGTTCCAATCTCCCATTTTCACATGGCCTAAAACTGAAAGAGTGAAGGTTATAAATTAGGACAAAAATATTGTTTATGATACAGCCTATATTTAACAGACAGATAGATAGATAGATAGATAGATAGATAGATAGATAGATAGATAGATAGATAGATAGATAGATAGATAGATAGATAGATATAGATAGATAGATAGATAGATAGATAGATAGATAGATAGATAGATAGATAGATAGATAGATAGATAGATAGATAGATAGATAGATAGATAGAATTTCAACTATACTAAGTCACATTAAAAGGGTTAGATTAATTACCCATAAAAATAAAAACTTACATTTTAAGTTGGTGGTATTCACAGAATACTTGCTGCATCAATTCATCAAACTAAAAAACAATATCATACAACTCCAGTATCCTTTCATCCTCGTGGGAGTAATTAGTACTCCTCTGTGGACCTCGCTTTGTTGAATGAAGTCCAGTTTCTCTGTGCATTGAACTCATACAATGCTACTATCGATCTGTGGGCTGGACAATACCCCGAGGGGGCTAAATTGCATCACAACTGTTGAGGGCAGGTCAGGGGGAACATACAATCCTGAAATACCCCATGGCCTGTGTAAAAATGTGCCAAAGTGTAGATGTTCAGGTAATTAATAATGAACTGTAAAATCTGAACACACCCAACATTATCTTAATGTTAATGGAATATGAACTTAAAATATTGGCTGTTTGGAATAGCATACTGACACACTATTATAGTATAGAGTATGTATACAGCATCCAGTATGCAAATTTTCAATATGCACAGCGCACAGTTGGACTACTAAGGCAGAAAAAAGCATGAAATACTGTATCCCATAATGCAATGTGTTTGACTTGACCTTCCATTTCCAATGTGACAAGTGAACTGGAAATAATTATAGCTGCAATTTGTAGCATTTATATTGACTCATTTTATCGGATTTTCTAAAATAATGTAAAAAAAAAGAGGGTCCCACTTTATATTAAGTGGCTTTAAGTACGATGTACTTACATCGAAAAATAAGTACAATGTACTTATTGTGTTCAGGTTGTATTGTAAAACACTTTTGCTGCTATTGAGGTGTGATACGGGTAAGGTTAAGGTCAGGTGTGGTGGTATGGGTAGGTTTAAGGGTAGGTTAAGGTGTAAGGGAAGGGGCAACAGTGTAATTACAAATGTAATTACATAAATTAATTACAGCTGCAATTACATGCAGGTATTTTCAAAATATAAGTACAATGTAAAAACATGTATGTACACAATAAGTCCATTGTATCAAATTATTAATTTCAATGTAAGTGCATAGTACTTAAAGCCACTTAATATAAAGTGGGACCAAAAAGGGACATTTTTACTCTACATTACATGAGCAAAATTGCACTCATGCATTGTGATGAGGTCATGTGACAGCAATGTAGCATACTGCTTCTTGAAAAATGTATTGTTTCATAATACTGTTTCACTAATTCTTAAAAATAGTATGAAAAGTATGTAGCCATACTGTGCAGTATTCAGTAAGCAATAAGCCAGATTCCACTCTGAACATATAGCACTTGTGTCTAGGCGAGACATGATGATCAATGTGTCATGTCCGATTTTATAGTCTAATGCTTTGAGGGCTATTTTTGGCTAGTCTGAGGGTGATGTAAGAGAGAAGCTGAAAACCACCTTCAAGAATGTAAGCTAGCTGTAGCTTAGCGCAGATAGAAATGTAATTCACTGTGGAGTTTAACAATTGCATACCAAACACTTCACTATAGGTGTTTGGTAGTTCACAAAGTTCAGATTTAATAACAGGTTGTAGTGTGTATCTACAAAAATGTGACGAATTTTGGCTAGATGTAGCCTAAAGTGATGCGAATTTTGGTTACACACTCAGTTTGGTTACATCAGTGTGAACAAAAATTAAATCTAGATTTCAGAGAGGGTTGCCAGGTTTGCATAACAAAACCAGCCCTCTTGCTATTCAAAACCCTCCCGATAACGGCCAAATCTTGCTCAATCGAGTTCCGCCTGCGGCAACAGTGTAAAAGTAGCCCAATTCCGCGGGAAAACCACGGACTTGGCAACACTGATTTCAGAGGTAAAGTAGCCTAAGGTTAACATCTGCCAGACAGTGACCTAAATATCTCACTTCTGCCTGGACAATAGTATTGTCAGTGAGCTTGGAATTGTTCAATAAATCACTGTATTTATATCCCCTGTGATAGTACAAAATACAATAGTAAGCCTAAACATGATGGTGATATATTATTGATAGGAACTGTTTGCCATTGTTTTGATATTTTATATCAAATTGGTTTCCGACAGTATATAATCCGGTGATATGGTAAATGTTATTTTGAATTGACTAATCCAAAAAAAGAGATCCCAAAGTTTAGATAAGTCTTCGATGCAGTTTGAAAACTGCTAAATATTCATCTCAAAAGGAACTTGCCATAATATTTCATAAATAAGATTTATTTCAAAATTTGTCAGAACTTACAAATATTTACAAAATGTATTTCCAAACAACATACAAGGTATTTTCCCCACATTTAGGTTTCTCTCTCTTTGAGAAAAAATAAAAATTGTTTAAAAAAAAAAACGATCATAGAAAAATCTTTGTTCAATCCAACTTTACAAATATATACACAAGGGAATACTCCCCTCATTCATCACCTAGAAAAAATAAAATAAAACTGGTACTCTTAATGTTACTCTTAAGTCATCAATATGAAAATATCAAATCTTTCAGGATGACTAATGGAACAAAGATTGAAAATTTAAATCCTGACAACTGCAGACCAAAACAAAAAAAAAGAAGTTAAAATACTAATATTAATCTTTTCCATCTCTACATTTAGAGCAAAGTTACACCTACACCCACCTCATTCACATAACCAAAATGAAAACAAAATCCAAGTGATCAAAACTTGAGGCCTATAAGCATTTAGGTTTAAGATTTAAAAACGTTTGTAGTTCAGAGGTAGGTTTAAAAAGCATTGCAAATATCTCAAAAATCAACTTACAATGTCCTTTAAATACTTTTTTTTGTTCATTTAATTGCATAAAAACACGACAACTGTAGTACCATAGTACTGCAATGACCAACTTGCCAAAATAATGAAAAACAAATTCTAAGGCATCATACAGGGCTTTAAGCACTGAAAATACCATGAAACGTCATTTATCTACTTTGTGGTGTCTGTTTATTTCCTTGACACAGATTAATGTAAATTTCAGAGTAGACCACACTGCAAATGTTTCTCTAGTTAATATATTCTAAAATATTGCCTGATTGGTGTCTGGTTTGCAGTAATTATGAATTTTTTAACACTGAATGTTAACTAAAGAAAAATAAAATAACTGTATACCATTTACTGCAGATCTTTTGGTGAGTTACAACTGTAAGTGCTTTTTCAAACAGATGGACAACATTAACAGATATAATAATACACTGATTTTCATATTCAATGTATTATATTTCTGCCGTTGGATGCTGAGGCACGCATTGAAATCTTCATAGACTTCTTTGTAAAGTCTGTTCAATTTCATTCTTGTTCGATCAATTCTCCATTTTCTCTTTCTTCTTGAATAGCTTCATCAATTGAGAGAATCGCTCCTCAACCTGTCAAAGAACAGCGATCATTAGTTTACGACAAAGCAGTTAGCTGACGTCATTAAAGAACACAATAACAAAGCATACCTGCTCTGTTGACTTCTTCAACCTTTTCGACAGAGCAGCAAATGTCTTGGGTGAAGTCCCCTTCATTTTAAGCTCGATGAGTATGTCCCGATCTTCATCCCTTTAAAAGACATCAGCTTTTTTTTATTGGTTTCTTAAACTTAAGTACACAAACACACATTATGCACACAGAATTAATAACCCAAAACGGGAGTGGAAATTCATTCAACTCACCTGGTCCATGCCACCACCACTTCCCCTTTCTTCCTGATCACATTCTTAGCAGACAGGCTGCTAGGGGACACCTGGGGTATTGCAGTTTTTAAGCCTTTTTCTTTGGAGGATTTTGACCTTTTCTTATGCCTGGACTTGGAATGTTTATCTTGAAATTTTTCTACCTTTTGGCGCTTTGCCCTTGGCTCCGATTGGTGCTCCGATTGGTGCTCCGATTGGTGCTCCGATTGGTGCTCCGATTGGTGCTCCGATTGGTGCTCCGATTGGTGCTCCTTGCGTTTCTTTGACACCCTCTTGGATTTAGACTCTGGTGCACTTGGGCTCTGAGTTGTGTTCCTTACATTTCCTGACATCTTCTCTGATGTTTCAGCCTCTGTTGCACTGCTTTGCTCAGGAGCAGTAACGAATGCTTCTATGGAAACAGGCTCAGTATTGTTGCAGGACAAGTTGTCATCACAAGCACCTTCAGGTGAGGATTTTTGGCTTGACTGTTGAGCTTCTCTTGCTTTATCTGCAATGTGACATGACTCGTTTACCTTGGTTGGGCTTTTGTTCAACATCTCTCCAGGTTCAGGACCCAAGTCGTCATGGGTCAGAGCAAGAGTAGGCTCGAGAGATGGCTCTAAACATTCAGGTAATGCTGGTACTGCTTTCCCTTCATTTTGTTTACTTTCAATTGGGCCAGTAGATGTCCGTCTTATTCGCACAATGAAATGATCATTTGACCTCTCCATTACCACAGCCTGCATTTGTAAATTAGGTTGGAATTGGAACCCGGATGGATCAGAGCCCTCCCATGTCCTGCTGGGACTCGACCCACAACTGGAGTTGTCGGTGTCTAGAGAAAGGTGGATGTCCTGTTCAGTGGCATCTTCTCCATCAAGAAGAGCGTCTTCACTATAATGGGCACTGAGGACACTGTCTGGGGCAGATAATGGCTGTCCAGTTCCAGGGTGCAAAAAACTCAAGTGACTATCGGACTTTAATGGTGAGGGAATGGTAAGGGACACAGCTAGATCTTCCGCCAAGATAGAGAAGGACCTTTGAGAGATTACAGTTGACTGAAGAGGAAGCTGGCATGGTTCAGAATTAGAGGGAACTTCTAACAAGCAGCTCTCATCGAGAATTGCTGGGTCTACCAGCATTTTGCTGTTTGAAGCAAACTTGAAGGGGGAAATGGAAGACCAGGATGTGATTAATTTAGATGGGGTTGTCTTGTTAGGGGTCATAATCCCAATCAAACTATCCCCTGGAAGCCCTTCTTTTCGAGGTGTGCTGAGTGGCCAACTTGTATTGTCACCAACAGGTACACTGGATTCAAGCAAATCAGACCCTTGCAAAAGACACTTGAATATCTCTCCCATTTGAGAGTCAGAGACCAAGTTGAAGGTTAAGCTTGATGTCTGCTGCTCAGTTAGAATTTCAAAGTCTGACTTATCCTGAATCGATCCATTATGGGAGAGACGTCGGACATAGGAAGAGATTCTATTGTCAGATTCTGAGGTACCTTTGTGGAAAGACCTTTCAGAGGATGAAGTAGGAAGCTGTTGTGATGTCGTCACCTTTGCCGGCTGATCGTCTTCATTCATGACAGCTTTAATGTTTTTACCTCGGCTCCCAAGGCCCCTGCGAGGCAGATTATTTGCAGGGGACTCTCTGACGAAACTTCCTGTGTCAACTTTTGACTTGACACTGTAAAGATGCCCAGGTGTGCTAAATGGTACTTTTCCTACCACCTCACTTTCATCCTCTTTTCTTTTAAGGGTTGCATTTTTATTTTCATTTGATACATTCTTGGAAGGCTCAGACTCACTTTTGAGTGCTGTCTTCAGTTCCTTGAACAAGAAATCAAACTGCCCATCCACAAATGTCCACAACTTCTGCTTGAGGTCTCCAGCTCTCTGCTCAAAGATACGATTGACGATGCCATTCTTGCTGACCTTGCTCATTATTGACGAAATAATCTTATTTAGTCTAACTTTGATGTCATTACCTTGGCAGCACAACTTATCCATGTCAACCGCATTGATAAATTCTGTAAAAGAGGCATGAGACATATCCACTATACAGCAGAAGGCAGTCTTAGTGACATTTTTCTGAAGCTTCATGTACTTTTTCCTCAACTCAACTCGAATAGATCCTAACATGTCCATAAATCCATCTAGCGTATAGACCGCTGCTTTGAATGGTGGGCTGACAGTTTTAAAGCGTCTCTTACTAGAGGTGGGACTGTCGTTAGAAGCAGACGACTTTGAACACTTGCTTTGCTCTGAATATTTAGCAGGGGCGCAAGATTTCTTTTGGGACACTCTTTTCCGAACTGCAGATAGCTTTGGACTTGGAGTCCCTGAGGTTGGTTTTTCCTTTTCTCTTGGAGGAGTCTGTATAAACAGAGGTCCCTCTTCTTCACTCTCACTCACTATCTCACCATCCTCCAGCTCATCTTCCTCAGTTCCAGAAGCCGATAGGGCATCTTTTGTCCCTTTGTTGGAAGAAGCTGTGACAGAAGAGTCAGGTGATTTATTCTCCTTGTTCATGTCCATATTTACTTTATCCTTATCACTGCCAGTTGTTACAGTTGAGAGATCTTGAAAAGAAATAAAGAGATTAACATTAGCAAGATGTACACATTAACCTGTTGGGCCAATTATTGCAAGAGTCACGCAAACATGCATTTCAATCAAATATTCATAGAATAATTAGTGAAATTTTGGCAATCATGGGAAACATAGGCCGGGTTTCACAGAGACTAAGCCAGGAAAAAAACATTAATGGTTTGGATCTTGAGACAAAACAATGGCACTGACATATTTTAAGATATATCAGTGCAACTTGCTTTCAGTTAAAACAGCTCAAACATGCATCTTGATCTGGGACTAGCTTAAGCCTTGTCTGTGAAACCAGGGGTTACAATGTTAAACAAAGCATTACTATCAAAAACAAAACCAAAACAAAACAAACACTTACCTTTGTTAAGACTTTTGACATGTGGTTGCTTCTCAGCAGGCTGAGGCTGCATTTTTTTCACCTGACGGACTGGGCTTGTGAGAGGGCTGATGGGCTCTGGAATAACTCTGATGTTCCTCAGGGTAAGCATCATGGAGTCTTCATCATGGCAAAGCACAACAGGGTTCAAGGACTTTGTGTCCTGTTCTTCTTTTTCTGTGGAATCTGGCTCTAAGAAACCAGGTTGTGATGACGACATGGTATCCTCTTCAACAGTGGTGCTATTATTTGGAGCCATAGTGTTCTGACTCCATAATGGACTTTGATGGGATTTTTCAGATATTTTCAAATTTTCAGATGTGTGCTGTGTTTTAATTGATTTTGAATATTCAAATGTTTCCCCTGCTCTCTTATTGTCCTGTTTTGAAGTGCCCACTTGTTCAACATCACAAATAACTTTGCTTGGGTCACCTAGATCTACACTAATTGTACTAGACGAAACTTCCATGTTGATAGATCTCCCAGAAGAATTAATATTAGGAATACTTTGTGCCTTGTCAGAGCATGACACATCATCTTGACAAATCCCTTTTGATGCTGGTAGTAAATCTTGAGAGTTGGCCTGAGGATTCCTTTGGATTTCCATGTGAGAAGTCTCCTCAGACAAAGTGGCAAAATGATCTTGTTGCTGACAACCATCAACTATTGAATCAGGAGTATTATCTGAAACTACCACTTCTGATGTTTTAGAGGGCAAAGTGATAGAGACAATGGCATTATTAATAATTCCCAGAGAGTCTTCTGTGTCATTCTCACAGACACGATTTGGAGACTCTCTTGTAAGGGTTAATTTTGATAATGAGTCTTTGTCTAACACATTGGAATCTGAAGTCTTGCCTCTTTTCTCCTCTGAGGTTTTAACAATCCATGGCACTTTGTCCACAGCCTCTTGACTTTCAGTGGCATTCTCTTCTTGTACCTCCATATCTGTTTCTTCTGCTGAGAGCTTCTCAGAAGCTACAGCTGTGAAGAGATCAAAAACTTGTCTAGACTGTTTACAAGAACTGGTAAAGTCTTCTTTTTCCCCTGCAGTTGTGGCCTCAGGGTTCTTATCCATTTCCACATCGCTCTGCTGGCTGTTCTTTAATTCATCTATGACATAGAATTCCTCCCCAGCGTCGGATAATCTGCTGTTATATGAGGAGGCATCTTCAGATGCTGCTCCAATGGCTTCTGTGGATTCAGAGGACTGCTTCTGTTTTTTAAGAGGCGATAGGGTGAGGTTCAATGTCTCCATGAAACTCAGTTTTCTGTCTGGACTATTATCCTCGGATGTTTGGCAGGGATTTATGCTGACAGCTACCACTGATGGTGACTCTGCATGAACAGATTCAAGATGTTTGTCCTTTTCAGTCTTACTATCTTGATCTTTTCTGGCATTTTTGTGTTTTTTACGAGAGTTCTTTCTGTCATCTTTAGTAAGAAAATGTTTTGATTCTCCATGCTTCTGCACCCTATGCTCCTTCAAATGTCCACCTCTTTTTCTTTCTCTGTCCTTGACTATACCCTTCTCTTCAAAACAGTTCTTTTCAGAACTTCCATTTTTGACAGGGCATTTCAAATCCTCCATTCTAGAATTATCATAGCAATGAGACCGTTTGCTTTTTGTTGATGGCTCATCGATTCTGCTTGATGATTTGCCCTTATAAACATCCTTTCGTTGAGAATCAAGTTTGGGAGAAGAAAAAGCTTGCCTACTGTCAAAGACATCAACTTGTTTCTTAGATCTTTTATCTTCATCTTTATTTTTATTAGCCATCTCCTTTGTACTCCTTCGCTCATACTCTTTGACTGATATGTTACTGCTTCTCTCTCTACTACTACTGCAGTTGTTACCCTCACCTCTTTTACTCCTCTCACTCTCCTTTGGCCTCTTTTGTTCATGGTCTCTGCTTCTTTCCATTCTGCTGCTCCTCCTCGCTGTACTGGAACTTTTCTTCTCTTTCCTTCTATGGCTACTTGAATCTGTTTTCTTCCATTTGTGGTTTTGGGAATGGCTTTCTTCATCCACCACAGTACAATCTGTACTTCTCAAGCCAGAGTGTCTTGCTTCTCTGCTAGTTCTGTCTGCATTTTGATTATGCATGTGTCCTTGACTCTGTGTCTCCACATCTGCAGCTGTCTTAACTGAACTTTTAGATGGCTGTGAAGGGACAGGTGGCAAGGCTTTGTGTGACAGGGAGGAAGGGCTTATCGATTGTTCTGAACTAGTACGAACGACTGGAACCTCAGGCTGCTGATTTCTGTTTTCACTAGACACAGAACTATCTTTTGCAAGCTCTTTTTCAGTTATTGTGCAATTCTGTGGTTTTTCTAGACTGCCTATATGTTTTAAGGGAGGGTTCTTATTTCCCTTCAAGCTACTGAATCGACAATTAGTAGTTGTATCGGGAGCTCTCGGTCCAGAGTTATTCGTTTTGGGAGCATTCGAGACATCTGCAACTGTGGGGGGATTTTTTATACTCCCTGATGTTCTGTAAGGTTCGTAGTCTTGCTCTGGTTGGACAGTCAGGGTTTCAGCAGATTTATTCTGACAGTTCAGAGGACTTTCAAGATCAGTTCTAGGGCATCTCTGGAGCACCTCAAATGGTTGTGGTGCTGCAGTTGGCGGATATGCAGGGTGATCCGACACAGTGTTTCTGCCCTTGTGTTGATTTAATTCATTCATAGTATTATCTTGTCTAGCACCTTGTGATCCTAAAACAGAACTTGAAGGATTGTTCAAACTGTGCCTTGTGTTTGCTGGACCACTTTCCATTTGAGATCGACGGAAATTTTGACCATAACTTCCTCGACTGGACCTGTGATGGCAACATACAAAAAAAAACAGGGAAGTGACTTTTACATAAATCCATCCAATCCTGACACAAGCCAGGGTCCATCATCTGTTTGCTGATCTCAGTACCAGAGTTAAAGTTTTTACCTATTGCTGAGTCTGCTAATCTCCTCATCCTTACGCACAATCTCCATTCTAGCAGTCTTGACGAGAGAACAAATGTTCTTCTTCAGAAGTATGTTTTCACTGCTCAAACTTGAATTCTTTAAATATGAAGTACAAAAAAACAGACTCTTTATTCCAAGTTTTTGGTATTCATTATGTATCACTATATAACAACCATTAAAAATGTAAACACACCTTTGTCTGCAGTAGCTGTAACTTTGAGAGCAGTTCATTAACTTGTTTTTGTGCATCATCAAATTTTTGCTTTAGCTGTAATAAAAGATAAGTACAATGAGACAATGTAAATATTCTGTCAATTTCTTAACATTTAAAGCAAAATCAAAACCAAACCAATAGCAAGCCATGCAACCATATTCAAAGTTTAGAGTTCAAGTTACAAGACCTCATTGTACATTTAATTTACAGACCTCATTGTAAGTTGCCTCCTTTTCTTCTTGTTCTTCCCTGATAAGTTCCTCATATATATCCATTGATTCCATTGTTCGTGGGGAAATGAACGGGTTGACTTCACCTAATAGAAAAAATGACAATACAACAGTTATTACAATCTAAAACATTGTATCCTTCTATTTCTCTGGTACTCATACATGAACAAATTACTATAAACAACTATAAAATATGATGTACTCAATTCAAGACTCATTAAAGGAGCATTTCACCCGTGGGAACATTCATCTTTATTGAAAGTGGGTCATATATGTAGTCGAAATATAATACAATTTTCGAATTTGGTGCCTTCTTGACCGAGTAAAGACAGAAAGTAACTTTAGGGCGCATTTGTACTGAAAACCACAACTCCCACAATGCACCACATTGCACAGCTCCGCAAGCCACTCCCACTAATCCAGAACAATGCTGAGGAGGTATCCGCCTATCAGATTCAGAGAAAGCACTCTACCATCTACAAGGCTGGGTGCCGCCAGAGTTTGAAATTCATTTCACAGAAAAAAAATCTAGTTTGTTGCCGAAATCATTATTGAATTACTCCTCGTTTCTATTTATGTTGAATGTTCAGTCCGAACATTGTAATGCAATTTGGATTTGCAAAATAAGAATAAAAATATGTAGGCATGACCATTATTTTGTTATATATTATCATGTAAGGTAACAGTAGGTTAGTAACATTAATTCCACTGATGAATGTTGGTCGTCCAAATTTATCTAACATACACGTGGAATAAAACACTAATAAGGAAAACAACGTAAATGTGAACCATTTATTTCAATAATGATATCAACAAAAATAATTATGATAACAATAAAAGTAGTAAACAACAATAGTTCCTCCTGAGCTTCCTCAACTTACTGGTGCCCGCAGTACTGGCAATCTGGAGCTGGATATTTCAGTCGGATTGCCAACACGAGCGGGTAGAACGCGAGACCGTGACCTGCCTGTCGCGGACGAGGAGCCCGCACTGGCTCGAGTTGAGGCGGACTGGTCATGTCGTTCTACCCGCTCGCGTCAGATTGCCAACACGAGCGGGTAGAACGACATGACCAGTCTGCCTCAACTCGAGCCAGTCCGGGCTCCTCGTCCGCGACAGGCAGGTCTTCTGATTTGGCTGATGGAGCAACAGGGCGCGGCTGCTGCCGCTTCTGCAGCCGATGCAGAAGACCTGCCTGTCGCGGACGAGGAGCCCACACTGGCTCGAGTTGAGGCAGACTGGTCCTGTCGTTCTACCCGCTCGTGTCTGCAATCTGACACTTCGCTGTATTGCGGCTCGTAAAGATAGCCACGAAAATCGGATTTGAGCAGAAGACTTTCAAAATCATCTTTTCTTGCATATCATGTTTATTTCCTTCCATCATTGTCGTAACTTCCCATCTGGCTCCACAGCGCTTGTTAGCTTAGCTTCCAAACAAGATGGTGGATATTGCTATTCGTTTCGGCAAGTTAAGTCCCACCCACTGATCTGTAATAGGTCTGTAGCGTGAGTGGGCCCCTCCCCCTGAATAAATGATGAGCTACTGTTTGTAGTCTCTACACTTTTCAATGAAATGTGACTTCCTGCTTATTATGACGCAAAATTACGATTTTTACGTCATAATAAGCAGGAAGTAAAACACTTAAATCCTTATTTCTCCCATCTCAGGGAAAAATAAAGGAAAAATCCACGATCATTATAATATATGACTTGGTTTCTAACAATACAAAGCTTAATGCAAATGGGTGAAGTGTCCCTTTAACGAAACCCACCTCTGTGCCCATCACCCTTAGGGCTGTTCTCCAGGCCAGAGTAAATGTCCACTGAGTCCTCATTGTAATGCAGAGATTTACCTGTATCAAATACAAACACTGATACAGTCATAATGAAAACAATTCCAGCATATACACCTGTCCAATACATGTATGTTTTGTTTACACAGAGCTGAGGCCTGAACCTGTTAAGACAAGAAATTGGGGAATAAAACAAAAAAGGTAAACCAAACAACATTATCTGGATCAAATCGTGATGCCTACATTTTCTGTCCGATTGCATTTTTTCCAGGTAAAAACGTATTTAAATGCATAAAATTATACTGTATATTTGTAGTACCTCTCCCATGTATGTACTCACTTTAACTTTTCAAAAACCTTTAGTTATTTGTAATTTTTTTGTTATTTAAAGTGTCAAAATATCATGTGGTGCAACAGTCCGGCCATAACTTCTGTTTTGAAAATGTCTTTGAAATTAATCTACATTTATTTTCTGCACTATTTGGCATGATTTCCAAAGTGTTTTGTAATCCTGTAAAAAAAAATCTAAGCATTTGTATTTATATTTCCATCATAATATACAAACAAACTTTGTCCGATGATGTCCATTTTATGAAATATCATGTGGTGCGACCATCAAGGAACTACCATTTTTGAGACTTTTATGTTGAAAACTATTCAAACACAGGAAGTTACATCATATACCAATTTACCAAGGACCCATGGAAGCAGCAAGCTGGTTTTTAAATCTCTCAAATTGAAAAAAACAACAACAACTTTGTAATGGTTGGTATGTAGTTACCACATTTGGATGTCATGTGGTATGACCTCCAAAAAAAATAATATTAAAGTTATTTCTACAAATATATATTTTTATTATAAATTTCATATTGACCTTTTTTTGTGGGAAGCTAGCTTGTTTTGTTTAGGTGGCCAATTCTGTGCCTGTAAATTTTGACTGAATTTGAAAATATCATGTGGTGCTACCAAATATCATGTGGTGAGACGGTTTTCCATGATAGATATATGTCCTAGATTGGCTGTTTTTGTGCTTTTATATTCAATTGACGGTTTATATACAACAAGTACTTTAATTTAGTATCATTTGGAATAGATTTTTATTTTTATATTTCAGACGGTTTATGTTTACTCTTTGTACAATATTAGAAAAGTGCACAAAAATAATTTAGACCATGTAATTTCAGTTTAGTAATTATGCATTTATTAGTAATGTATTAGCCTATTTATTTATTTAAAACTATTTTAATCTATTTTACCAGATGCCACTGCCAAGCGAAGTAAAAAATTCTGACCCTGCAGCAAGAGCGGTATACCTTGCTAGGAGAAGAGTGAAATATTATTACAGTTTAAAATAGCTGTTTTCTATGTGAATATACAGTAAACTGTAATTTATTCCTGTGATCAAAGCTGAATTTTCAGCATCGTTACTCCAGTCTTCAGTGTCACATGATCCTTCAGAAATCATTCTAATATAATGATTTGCTGCTCAGGAAACATTTCTGATTATTATCAATGTTCATATTTTTGTGGAAATTGTGATACATTTTATGTCAGGATTATTTGATGAATGGAAAGTTCAAAAGAACAGCATTTATTTGAAACAGAATCTTTTGTAACATTATAGCCTAAATATATTTACTGTCACTTTTTATCAATTTAATGTGATCTTGATTAATAAAAGTATTAATTACTTAAAAAAACTATTGACCCCAAATGTTACCTGTATACAATACTTGTATTTATATCTATAACATTATTATTTGTTAGAAATAAATTCGAAGTCAAGTTAAATGAAATGGTGCACTTATGTTTGCGATGTGATTTTTATAAAAAGAAAATGTTTATAAAATGTTTGTGTTCAGGAAAATTCTGTGAAATTTGTGTAAAATCTGGTTTAAATCTATTTTTGTATAAAATGTATTGTTCATTGATCTCTTTAAATAGATTTTTAACTATATAAGGTCTTTGTGTCATTTGGAGCGACCACTCATGTGGTGTGACCAATGATCTTATCAAAAAATTAGATCATTATTTACAAAAACTCACACCACATGACATTTTTTAAGGCTCAGCCAATTCTTCTAGATGAAGAAACACTAAAATCACTTCAATTAAAATTTTCATATGATTTTTTGTATTTTAAAATTGGCCTGTCGAAACAAATATTAGAAAGCACACTCAGGTGGACTAAATGGCCTCAATTTCAAATGCAGTTGTTGTACTGCTCATGCATGTAGTGCAAATATCTACATTTAGTTTATTTTGCCTGACTTGTCTATGGTCTTGTGAAATTATTAGTAAAGTAGATGATCTGCTATGATGACAGTGTTATCAAGAATACACTGAAAGTATTATTGCAGTGACACAGTAGAACAATACATTCCTGAAAATAAATGTATGAAGAATTCAAATGCAAAAGCCTCTAAGTGCCATTTGAAATGGCACTTAGAGGCTTTTGCATCTGAACTCTTCGTATATAGACAAGAATGTGGTCTGTTAAAGTATTTATTGTAGATCTAAGATCAATCTACATTATAACTTCGTGATAAAAGCCGCAATAAATGCTAGACCCATACAGATAATTGATAATACAATAGTACTCAACTGATCCTACCAGAAAACATGTTAAATATGTGAAAATAAAGTACATCTGTTGAGCTATAGTCTTACCTGAGGGCTGATCAATACGATCTCCACGAAGTTCATCCATTAAATCCATTTTCAGTTAGCTAATGAAAAACAGAAAATAGTACAAGAAGTTCCTGAAAACAGTCACAATAACAGCAACAATGGGCAAGTGTCACTTCAACTACACCACTTCCTGTCATTTACTGAAGAAACACTGTACTGAAGTAATGCAAATTTTATGCTATATTAAAACAAGAGTCAACTTAATATTAAGGTGAAAAAGTAATAAATCACACACAAAACAATCCACTATACTTACACAAAATATACTTTCAACTGTAAGATCACGGGTTTTACACAAACACCGACGAAGTAAAGCGATCAAAATTCATTATTTATTAGTATAGTATGTGTACAAAGTGAAATTAAATGAAAGTATATGAACAATACCTGTATCTCTGGTAGTGAGCAAACGACAACAGGCGGATATAAAACAGTAAGATGGACCAAACACTGTACAGCGGAGTTCAGGATGTGACACCCATGCTATCGCGCTCATAAAATATAATTTGCAGTCAATTAGCAACTTTCAACTTGCTTGTAGACAGCGATTAAAAAAAATCTTGAAGCATATTTCCACCAGGTCCGCGCCATCCTTACACCGTTCACATTCGCCAAAAAGGAAGTGACGTAATTTTCCCGCGGTCTCTCCTTTCCTAAAAGATAATATATAAAATCTTAGCTAAATTTCATGTTTTTTACGCAAATGTCAAAATAATAGAATGTTCATTTGTTCAATTATTTAGTACATTAAGTACAACAATTATTAACATTTACAGTAAATATTTTGATAAAATAATCCAAATAAAAAATGTCCTTTAAATTCTTATGGTCATTGTTTGACAAATATTATACTATTATAGATTGCAACGATAATCAATAAAGCTTAAATCTAACCTCTAAACAAAACATGTTCCATAATAATAATAATAATAATAATATACATGGCCCTTATTTCAAACATTGGCTACAGTTATCTTGTTTGTGTCTTAAATGTTTCTAAAATAAGGTTACACAGCTCTGTGTTGTTGATTGAACAAATTTGATGAAATCCATTTACATTAAATACAGCTGTAGGACACACACAGGCTTAAGAACGGTGCCGCCCAAAATAACATATTTAGTCGAAATTATCTATGCGTTTTAATGCGAAATCCTCGCACAGAAACATCTCTTTGAAGTTAGTTTGCTGCTCAGGGAGCGTGAGCTCCGCGACAGTCGAATGACCCGGAAGTGCTCGTCATTTACTCACATGTGGACAGGGATTTTAATACTGACGGGAACGTGCTCGCTGTGTTGTGTACAACCTGGACAGCCAAGCGAGTGATGAGTCTTATGGTTCCCATCACGTAGAATACTTGGAATATTAAAGCCTTTGCCAGCCGCAGAGACATCGTCGGAAATCCCTATAATCACGACAAATGATAGAATGGAAAACCTGGAGTTGAGCCTGACGTCTCTGGGTGCAATCTCAAGACATATCGAGAAAAGTCACAACGAACTCAGCAAGTACCTCGCAAAACAGGTGAGCCTGAATTTCCTGGGCACTTTATAAGACCGTCATTAGAGGCTTTCATCTGTTTAACACATGCAGAGTACAACGTGTGTGTCACACCACACTGTCCCACGTTTCTGTAGTACACATGCTGCTCCATTGGTGGTTTATACATGATATTCATTAGTTTAAAAAAATAACTGACATATAAGTGTTCTGCATATTAGTCTATTAGGGAACGAGTCTTCTTTTCGAGCACGAATGATTATTTTGGTCCTGTTGCTGTTGCAACATAGTTTCAATAGTTTAGGTTGTTGAAACATGCTGCCACAGTTTATTATTTTGACAAATATACAAGAGGCAGTATAGAAGAGCCACTGATTACCTTTCCTTCAACAGTATTCACTTACATTGATGTGCACATAAACCGGGTTATAAATTCATGCTTGAATATCTATCATTATTTGGAACCAATCCAAAAGTATCCACATGGGAATTCCAACATAACGCACTACAAAATGTGATTTTATTGCACATAACTCATCCTGTGCTTATTAACATCATCTTCATTATTATTAGACATTATTTCATTATATCTATGAATGTTGGAATTTATTCAGCAGGATCTGTTTAGATTTTTGCTTGATTCCATAGGCATACTTTAATATTATTTATTTAGTTGGCATGAATCGTTCTGCTTGTAGATATGGAGCCAGCAGGACAGGCAGTGTATACTGGGATGTCTTGCGCAGCTCCTGTTGGAGAAGGAATACACTCTCCTCATTGCTCGTCACTTACGACCACTGATCCTGGACCTGTTGGAGAGGAATGCTGCGAGGATCAAAGTAGACATCCGGCTGAATCATGACCTCCACGAGCGCTTGTGTGTGACTCTAAGCAAACTTCTCAACATCAGTCCAGATGCTCAAGCGTAAGTAATTCTTCAGAATTTATTCACAACAGGGTTCCCATTTATCTTGGAAAACCTGGAAGTAGCAGGTCATTTTAAAACATGGAAATTTAGTGGCGATAATACAATTGGAAAAGTCATGGGAGTATTTGTTTATTTGGGAACAAACAAATTGTGAACAAACTTTTAAATCTGTTAAACCAATTTATTAGTCCAAATTATGTGTTAGCAAACTGGTCTGAATTTGAATGACTTTAAAAACATAAATCATATTTAAGGATCATGGGAATTCATTAGTCAAAAAGTATGAGATGGTGGATAACAGATGTTTTTGTTACCACTTCAGAACAAATGTCCAGTATGCCATGAACAAGTTTGAATTGTTTTCTCACAGGTTCGCAGCAAGGTATTTCAGCAGCTCTCCCCCAGTATTTCAGAGGCTGTTCTTCACCAGTGAAGAGGCTGCCTCCATCCAGTATGGGCCCAGACGGATGAAACTACGGGACCTGATGGGGGCCACCCTCCGCTTCCTCCAGAGCGATTGTGAGAAGTTCCGTGTCCTGTGGGACTGGAGTGCCTGTGTTTCACAACTTCTCACCAGTGACGTCATAGTCAGAAGGTATTGCAATGAGTAGATCAGTCACAAGCTCTCACCAGAATCTAAATATCTATTTGCTAACAAAAAAAAATATATATATATATTCTGTGTGTTTTTAAGCTACACTGCCCAGTGCCTTGCCCTGGTGTCCCACATGACAGACAACCAGAAAACAATATTTCTGAGGAAGGTTCTTTCAAGTGAAGAGATTATGCATTTGAAAATGAAGTAAGTTTTTTCGAATTGTTCAGAAGTTACTCACTTGTGTTAACTCTTAAACAACATTACAGTATCACATCTTTGTAGATCACTTGAGGAGACACAGCAGCTGGAAGTAGAAAAGGCTCTAGTTTTAGCCAATCAGGGCTCAGCAATATGGCGAAAAGAGAGAGTTAAAAAGATCACCCGTGGTCAGGTGGTGACCGAAGACCTGACTCAGAGCGTTACTGTGGTGTGTGGGGTGATTCTACCTAGACAGACCCCTCGACAGGATGAACAGGCAAGACAATCATTCAAAAAGACAATATTAAGCTTATAAAAGCCAGATATAATATAACTAGAAATATATGTTTTTTCCCCCAATACCTCTATTAGTGTATTGTGGGAGAATATTGTCTGTATTGTAATCTCACTACATCTGTTGTTATCAGACAAGTTTAAGGAATTTGGTGCTGGTGGATTCAACTTGTCAAAATCTACGGCGACTTGCCATGGCTGTGGCATCCCAGAAACCCATTCTTTTGGAAGGGCCAATTGGGTGTGGAAAAACTGCTCTTGTTGAATATCTAGCTGCTGTCACTGGGCATGATAAAGCCCCTGACATACTTAAAGTTCAGCTCGGAGATCAGACCGACAGTAAGGTGAGATTTGCTTGACTTTGAAATGTTTGAAAATTATTTCCATTGTTTTCACCTTGCTGCTTCTAGTTTTACCATATTTTATATATATATATATATATATTTTTTTTTCATGCCTCTATTTTCTGTAGATGTTGCTGGGAATGTACCGCTGCACAGATGTTCCTGGAAAGTTTGTGTGGCAGCCGGGATCCCTGACCCAGGCGGTCTCAAAAGGTTATTGGATTCTGCTGGAGGACATTGATCATGCTCCTTTGGACGTGGTGGGTGGCAAATCCACAAAAACATGAAAAACATACAGTCTTTCTTAGAAATGTTTCTATTAGGACTGTAGAATAGAGATGCCCGGTTGGCGGTTACAGCCGCGACTCCGCGGATAAACCGCGGATCGGACAGATGACGTGACGAATTTTAAAAAAAAATTAAATTCAGGCGGGTGGCGGGCGGTTGAACCAATCAAATGAAAAAATATATGTATACATTGTTAAATATTGTTCTCTGACTATACCTACATCCAAAAAAAAATCGAGCACACTTTGAAATAGTCAAATTTTCATCAGCTAGTCGAGTCTATGCAGAGACTGCTTGTTATTATCAGAGATGGCAACGCCGGTGAAGGAGGTACGTGACAAACTCAAAAAAGGAGAATTAAAAACAAAGGAAATAGAAGGTCAGAAAAGTGTTGCCTGGAATAAGTTTTACAAAGTGGTAAATCAGGATGACACCAGTGCAGGCTATGTAATTTGCAAAACCTGCGAAGCAGATTATGTTCATGACAGCCACAAGACGGGTACGTATAATATGGTGCATCACAAGTGTGTGATGTGATACTAGTTTTTAAAACATTGTTAAATGTTTAAACATAAAACATAGCTAAATGTGACAAAATGTTGCTGTTATTTTCAGCGTGAGCCGCTTTACAAACGGCGCCCCATACAATAGCAGCATGTTGAAATTATGTGCCAAAATGCGTTTTCTATTAGGCTACAATGAAAATAATGTAGGCTACAGTAGCCTATCAGATAAGGTCAGGTTTGCCGAAGTCCGTTTAATTTAGGCTATTTATTCATTTTTGTCCCTGCGCGCCGATCGGAGACGGAGTTCACTGCTGATATTCTGAGAGCTTTCTAGTCTCGCGGCTGTCATCAGCAGCGCCTTGTATCGCCCAATCAGCGGATGGCGGGCGGGTGCGGTTTTGAAAATTGGTCAAAAACGTTGGTGCGGATAGATGGCGGACGGATGATGAGTTTTGTGATGCGGTTGCGGATGAAATAATAGCCCATCCGCGCATCTCTACTGTAGAAGTCCATAACGATTTTTTATTACTGAGTTATTGCAGATTTGTAGCATTTGTTGTATTTAGCGTGAGCTTGTGGCAGTGCACAACTGCATATAATCATTGTGCAGAATTAGTTTGTTAGTGACAATAAATAAAACATTGCTTTTTTTTTCATTGAAAATGTAATTTAAATATTTTGATTTAATTAACTATATATAGTTACTGGACTATATATATATATATATATATATATATATATATTAAATATTTATTTTGGTAAATGGTATGATTCATAATTATAAGATCAGTCCACATTTAATCATGCCAGTGTAATTTGCTCTGTAGATATCGGTTCTGCTCCCTCTTATGGAGAACAAGAAATTGACAATTCCAGGACGCGAAGACTGTATTCAAATGGCCCCAGCTTTCCAGTTTTTTGCAACGCGAAGGTAAGATATTTTGTCCTTTTGTGTGAGTGTGTGTGTGTGTG